CCCTCTGCAGTCCAGGTTTTCCTTGTCTTCCGTCTCTGGGGATGCAACCACAGAACCTTACAAAACATGCTTAAGTGCACAATTTTAAGAGACGTTTCCATTCTTTATGAGTGCACGCATGCGTGGGGTGGGGAGGCTGTGCATGCCAGACTGTGACATCACATGTCTCCATGCCTCTATTTGGGAGCTGGCTGGGTCTTCAATAGCCATGTGCTGAGAAGAATGGAAAGCTGATGATGCGCTCACAGGTTTTGATCTCTTAAATAAATATTTTTTCAAGAAGAGGAGCTTTAGGAATAAACCGTTTCAGCCAGCACCTTTGTGATCATCCCAATTCTAAAGCAGATAGAGATTCCTTTTACCTAGAGAAAGTTCAATTTTAAACACTGAATAAAAACATAATTTTCTAGTTCTTGGCCCAGTCTCTTAATCACTTTTACCTCCATGGTATTCAGAGCTGATGCTTGCAAAGGGAAGTTATTACCCCTGACCCATCGGTTTCTGTCTGATTCCAATCAGGTAGTAATATTTCATAGAGCTGCGCCATGATACAGGCACATTTTCCCCACTAGGGACACGTGTGTTGTTTCCTTTCATTTTGGAAAAATTGTGCCATGAGCACAGCAAGGAGAATAACTTCTATGTCTTTCCTCTTATAAAGAATGTGCTTTTATAACATGTTTTTTAATTGATAAAGAGGTAAGGGTAATAAATGAGCATTTGATTCAAGTTTCAGCAAAGGACTCTTTATTGGAGTACAGACTCTAAAAAGTTATTTTAGGCAAGTACCCAGAGGCAATTTTTAGAGCCATGAGGCTGAATAAGAAGACGATGATTCTGAATGAATTCTGCCACTCCTTGGACATAAATTAAGTCTCCTTCCAAGTGGAGTGGCTAGTGGGCTGAGAGGACATATTTTAAAATAGTTGAATCCAAACATAAGCTGGATTTGCATTTTTTAAAGCCTATAGTTTGCTTTTCACATTTTCTCTCTTCCCCCGGGACTCTGGCATTGTATGGTCTAAGCTGCTTTCTTACAAAGGTAACTTAGGTTCATTTTATGAGGTGTGGAATAGAGAACCAGCCTGGTGCTTTGACTGGCTGAACTTTCCATCCTGCTTTAAACAACCTGCTAAAAGTCTGCGTGATTTACAACAGTAGTTACAACTACCCTTTTACTTAGCCAGGAATATTCTCATGCTATCAAAAAATAGAGGCACATTTGGAACCACTGTCATTCCTATTTCTTGATTAATCATCTCAGTGATTCATTCATTAAACAAGTTTATGCAGCTGAGGGGCCTTCTTTGATGACGTAGGATGGAAGAGATCACTTGTCCAAGATACAAACAGCACAATCTTTATTTTTTTATTTTTATGTGTTTTTAAATTTTATTTTTCCATAAATTATTGTGTTTTCTTTTTGTTGTTGTTTTGAAACAAAGTTTCATTCTTGTTGCCTAGGCTGGAGTGCAATGGCCCGATCTCAGCTCACTGCAACCTCTGCCTCCTGGTTCAAGCAATTCTCTTGCCTCAGCCTCCTGAGTAGCTGGGATTACAGATATCTGAGACCACACCTAACTAATTCTTTGTATTTTTAGTAGAGATGGGGTTTCACCATGTTGGCCAGGCTGGTCTTGAACTACTGGCCTCAAGCAATCTGCCCACTTCAGCCTCCCAAAGTGCTGGGATTACAGGCGTGAGCCACCTCACCTGGCCATATCCAGTACAATCTTAAAGAGAGGGTCTACTGGACAGATACTTGGGGCAAGACTGCTTGATGATTTTCATGAATTATCCCCATGTGTCCCATGGCCATGCGGCAGGTGCTGATATCTGTAACATTCACTGGGGTCTTTTTCTTCTTTTTTTTGAGATGGAGTTTTTCTCTTATTGTCCAAGCTGGAGTGCAATGGTGCAATCTTCACTCACTGCAACCTCCACCTCCTGAGTTCAAGCGATTCTCCTGTCTCAGCCTCCCAAATAGCTGGGATTACAGGCACATGCCACCATGCCCTGCTAATTTTGTATTTTTAGTAGAGGTGGGGTTTCACTAGGTTGGACAGGCTGGTCTTAAACTCCTGACCTCAGGTGATCCATCCACCTTGGCTTCCCAAACTGCTGGGATTATAGGCATGAGCCACCGTACCTGGCCCACTGAGGTCTTTTCATGCTGGTGTTTTAAATTGTGTAAATCCATGCAGCTGAAATGAAAATTACGCACATACAAATACACACCCCACATCCCTCTACTCTCCCAAAAAACCCTTCAAATGTTTCTGAGAAATTAGGATGCCAGGTATGTATTTGCAAAAGGTCACCTGAGATGATCATCCATATTGTTATTGAACCCAGCTGGGGCCTGCTTGTCTGGCACAATAAGACCAGATATCCACATTGAGGTTTGAAGTGGGAGGAAGGTGTTTAACTGCTAGTTACCAACCAAGGAGGATCAGGCAGCTCATGCTTAAGTCTTGATCTTACAGGTAAGGGTTTTTAAAGGCAGGGGTGGCTGGGTGCAGTGGCTCATGCCTGTAATCCCAGCACTTTAGGAGACTGAGGCAGGTGGATTACTTGAGGCCAGGAGTTTGAGACCATCCTGGCCAACATGGCAAAACCCCATCTGGACTAAAAATACAAAAATTAGCCTGGTGTGGTGGTGCACACCTGTAATCCCAGCTACTTGGGTGGCTGAGGCAGGAGAATAGCTTGAATCTGGGAGGCAGAGGCTGCAGTGAGCTGAGATGGTGCCACTGTACTCCAGCCTGGGCAACAGAGGGACACCGTCTCAAATTAAAAAAAAAAAAAAAAGATGTCATCTTAGTTTCCATGGGGAACCAAACGCCCATGATTCTAGCTTCCTTGGCTATTTTTTGTTACTATTACCTTCTTGCTTATCAAGTTGTTTATTTATTTCTCAAGGCTGGCTAGCTACCTGGAATTTCCCTTGAGATTTTCTTTCTTTTCATGCTTGTGGAGGCCTGCAGGCCACTAAGAGGAGTCTCTGTTCCATCTCGGTACTAGTATCTTTTAAATTGCTTGGTGCCTTTTTCTTATAGGAGCTCAAAATGCTTCCTTCCTATCTACTATGTGCTTGGAAACATAAAAACTCCTATTTTGTGTGAGGTGAAAGCCATGTGCATACAAGCTTTTGAGACAGTGACACAAATAAAAGCGATCTGCACCCTTGGGATAACTTCCTGCTATAGATAGAAGACACGCTGACCATTATGTGTAATTTTTTGCCATAGGTGAGATTTTCTGCCTTTCTCAGACAACAAAGATAGCTAATGCAAATAAGCAAGATGAGAGTAAAGTTACAGTTAGCAAAGTTAGATTCTTCTCTCATTTATTTTTTAAATAGGGAAATATTTCAAAAAAGCGTTTGAAACCAACTCCTTGAGTGTCAGGACCTGCCAGGTGAGAACTTTTGTAATTGTCCAACAGGTTCCTTGCCTGTTTCCCAGATAGAGCCAATTTATTAAGACAGGGAATTGCAATAGAGAAAGAGTTTAATTTGCACAGAGCTGGATAAATGGAAGACTGGAGTTTTATTACTCAAATCAGTCTCCCTAAAAATTTGGAGACAGGGTTTTTATTCTTTTTTTTTTTTGAGACAAAGTCTTGCTGTGTTGCCCAGGCTGGAGTGTAGCAATGTGATCTCTGCTCACTGCAACCTCTTCCTCCCGGTTTCAAGCAACTCTCTGCGTCAGCCTCCCAAGTAGCTGGGATTACAGGAGCCAATGCCTGACTAATTTTACACCAGGCCTGACTAATTATTTTGTATTTTTAGTAGAGACGGGGGTTTCACCATCTTGGCCAGGCTGGTCTTGAACTCCTGACCTCATGATCCACCCACCTCAGACTCCCAAAGTGCTGGGATTACAGGTGTGAGCCACCGTGCTCAGCCTGGAGTTTTTTTGTTTTTGTTTTTTCACTTAGGCACATAGTTATCAGGTTATCTAGAGACTGCAGTTTTTTAAGGATAATTTGGCAGGGAGGGAACCAGGGAGTGGGGAGTGCTAATTGGCTGGTCAGATAGAAAAATCACAGGGCTTTGAAGTGGGTTCTTCTTGATGTCTTGTGTTCTTGGGTGGGATTGCAGAACTGGTTAAGCCAGATTACTGGGCTGGGTTGTGCCAGCTGGTGCATCAGAATGCAGGGTCTAGAAAATATCTTCAGCACCAATCTTAGGTTTTGCAAGATGCTAGCCCTAGGAGCAACTGGGGAGGTTCAGAATCGTGTGACTGCATGAGTCTTCTTCTTCTTCTTTTTTTTTTTTTTTTAAGAAGACAACATTCTCTGTTTATTGGGCTAAACGGGGCAATAAATTGTGGCTTATACCTTACTTCTTAGATAGGCTTCTAGAATAAGGATTTTATCGACAGTTATCACCACACTGGCAGAGGTTTTGCAAAAATGGAGGGCTAAATCTTTTAGTAAACATTTTGTTAATTTTTCATCTGACATAAAAAATTGAAGGAGTAATCTTAAAAATATACGGTTTGAGGAATAATGGTTCTTCCTAGAGACTATAAAGAGCCATAATCCAAATAATAGTGAAAATTTCCATTGGAAATACGGTAAGATACACAGGTTTGAGAATTACATTTTTCTAATTGTAACATTTTGAATTTCATTTCAATGAAATCTGCTGTCCTAAGACAAGTATGAGCAATTAAATCCTAGGTCTCCCCACCTTAAGAAGCACTGTGTAATCACTGACCCATTATTCCTTGTGGCGTTCCTAGGTCGGACCAATCCTTGATACCCTCAAATTTCACCTTAAGGAGGCCGGCACCTTTCAGCTTATGGACCGGCAGCTCCTTTCCGTATTCTAGACTGCTAAAGAAGAAAATTTTGGCACAGCTCCAGCCTGAGAGTGTCTGTAATGAGCCTGCGACCTTCCAGCAGGATCTTCCCTCGTTTTTCCCGAAATGGCCTGGACTTTACTATTGTCATTACACTGCTCAGCCTCCTGTCCCCAAGAAAAGTCTTACCGTAGTGAAGCCCAGACTCTTCCCAGGTGCTGGGAGTGTGGAATGAGGACACCTCAAGCGGCTGTTTCTCTCGGTGCTCGTGGGCACTGGCCTCAGGTGTTGCCTTGCGTGGCCGCTTCCCAGGAGGGCACTTCCGTTCCACCACCTCCCCGGAAGGAAACACCGCTTTCACTGGGTTCCGCTGCAGCACTCGGACCCCAGCGCCTCACGTCAAGGTCCCAGCCCTGGACCATCTGCAGCAACGGTGGCACCACAAACCGCGCGCGTTTCACCAGCGCCGCCATCTTCCCTGAGACCCGGCTGCATGACGCTTAAACTAAACCGTAATTGCTAATCTTGTGGCTAATTCGTTAGTCTTACAAAAGCAGTCCGGTGGCCGGGTGCGGGGGCTCACGCTTGTAATCCCAGCTCTTTGGGAGGCCGAGGCAGGCGAATCACGAGGTCAGGAGTTCGAGACCAGCCTGGCCTAGATGGTGAAACCCTGTCTCTACTAAAATACAAAAACTAGCCGGTTAATTTTTGTATTTTTAATATTAAAAACAAAAACACCTCTTTAAAATATTTGACATATTTGAGACCAGCCTGGACAACATGAGCCATCGTGCCTGGCCCTAAACAGATCATTTTTGACCCAGGATATGGTGGCTGACTCTGACACAGTACCCTCATCTTAACTTAAGCATTGCTTTCTGTCGGCTCCCAGTTTTAGGCAGACAGTGAAAGAGGTCGAGAGATCGAGACCATCCTGGTCAACATGGTGAAATCCCGTCTCTACTAAAAATACAAAAAATTAGCTGGGCATGGTGGCATGTGCCTGTAATCCCAGCTACTCGGGAGGCTGAGGCAGGAGAATTGCCTGAACCCAGGAGGTGGAGGTTGCGGTGAGCCGAGATCGCGCCATTGCACTCCAGCCTGGGTAACAAGAGCGAAACTCCGTCTCAAAAAAAAAAAAAAAAAAAAGAAAAAAGAAAAAAAAAGAATCTCTGGGCCAGGCGCAGTGGCTCATGCCTGTATTTATGACAACAATAAACCTATTTTAAAGAGGTTTATTTTATTGTATTTGTATTTTTTTTTTTTTTTTTTGTAGAGATGGGGTTTCGTGATGGTGTCCAGGCTGATCTCAAATATGTTAAATATTTTAAAGAGATTTTTTTTTTTTTTTTTGGTGACAGGTGCCTGTAATCCCAGCTACTTGGGAGTCTGAGGCAGAAGAATCCCTTGAACCTGGGAGGCAGAGGTTGCAGTGAGGCTAGATTATGCCACTGCACTCCAGCCTGTGATATAGAGTGAGACTCCTTCTTAAAAAAAAAAAAAAAAAAAAAGCAGTCTGGTCCCCAGGCAAGAAGGAGATTTGTTTCAGGAAAGGTCTGTTATCATCTTCCTTTCAAAGCTGAACTATAAACTCAGTTCCTCCCAAAGCTGGTTTAGCCTACGCCCAGGAATGAACAAGGGTAGCTTAGAGTTGGTTAGGTCAGCTCTCTTTCACTGTCATGATTTTCTGTTAACAGAAAAACCAAACTCTGTTAAATATTTTAAAGAGGTTTATTGGGAACCAATAGGAGTGACTGTGGCCTGGGGAAGACATGACCCAAGAAGCCTTAAGTACATGGTCCTGGGACAAGTGAATTATAGTTTGGTTTACACATTTCAGGGATGCAGGAGTTACAGGCAAAGACATACATCAACACATGGAAGGCATACATTGGTTCAGCCCCAAAAGGCAGGATATCTTGAAGGAGGGGGTCTTACAGGTTATAGGCAAGTTCAGAGATTTTTTTTTTTTTTTATATAGGGTCTCACTCTGTCACCCAGGTGGGATTGCAGTGGCATCATCATGGCTCACTGTAAACTCTGCCTCCCTTGCTCAGGGAATCCTCCTGCCTCAGCCTCCTGAGTAGCTGGGATTACAGTCACATGCCACATAGCCAGCTAATTTTTGTATATTTTTGTAGAGATAGGGTTTTGCCATGTTGTCTAGGCTGGTCTCAAACTCAAGCGACCTCAAGAGATCCATCCTCCTCAGCCTTCTGAATTGTGAGGATTACAGGCATGAGCCACTGTGCCTGGCCTAGAGATTCTTTAATTTGCAATTAGTTAAAGAAATAAGGCTCTGCCTAAAACTTGGAGCCGAAAGAAATGCTGAAGATGAGGGTGCTGTGTCAGAGTCAACCACAATAACCTGGGTGAAAAATGATCTGTTTAGGGCTGGGAACGGTGGCTCATGCCTGTAATCCCAGCACTTTGGGTGGCCAAGGTGGGTAAATCGCTTGAGCTCAGGAGTTTGAGACCAGCCTGGGCAACATGACAAAACCTCATCTCTACAAAAAAATGCAAAAATTAGCCAGGTATCATGGTGCACACCTGTAGTCCCAGCTATTTGGGAGGCTGAGGTGGAAGAATCGCTTGTGCCTGGGAGGTGGAGGTTGCAGTGAGGTGAGGCTGAGCCACTGCACTCCAGCCTGGGTGATAGAGTGAGACTGTGTTTCAAAAAAATAATAAAAAATAACCCATTTAGCAAGATTGATGGACTGCAGATGAGACTTCACACTTGCCTTGCATTGTCTTAAGTCCTGTTTGTAATTTGGTATCTTACTGGCCACAAAGAGTCTGTTTTGTCAGTCTTTTTATTTTTATTTATTTTTCTTCCACTTCCCTTTTCCCCCTTTTCACCTGTCAGTCTTAAGATCTCTATTTTAACATTAATGCTGGTTAGTTGTTGCATCTAAACTCCAAAAAGGAAGGAGTATAATAAAACATGTTAGGCCTCCCACCCAGTCATGACCAGCAACTCCGTTTCTAAGGTTTCTATGGAATCTGCTTGGTTAAGAGGGAGTCCATTTATATCTTGAATTAGACCAGTATGACTGGGGCTATCAATTTTTGTGGTATGAAATTTTTATCATGTAACAGGGACTTGTATGCTATTAAGGGCTGGCCTGTCCTTTGTTTCAAAAGATCAAAACAGTTTCTAGTCGTAGCAAAAACGAATTTTGTTTTGTTTTGTTTTTAGAGTGTGTCTCACTCTCTTGTCTAGGCTGGAGTGTAGTGGGGTGATCTCAGCTCACTGCAACCTCTACCTCCCTGGTTCAAGAGATTCTCCCACCTCAGTCTCTTGAGTAGCTGGGACTACAGCCTGCCACCATGCTCGGCTAGTTTTTGTATTTTTTTGTACAGACGGGGTTTTGCTATGTTGCCCAGCTGGTCTCGAACTCCTGAGTTCAAGTGATTCACCCGCCTCAGCCTCCCAAAGTACTGGGATTACAGGTGTGAGCCACTGTGCCTGGCCCACAAAAACTAGTTCTTGATTTAATAATGTGTCTGTTGCTCATCCTTCACCTGTAGCAAAATTTCAGAGAATTTTTTTTTTTTTACTCTGCAAATGTGTATATTTATTTATTTATAGCTTATATATATGAAATATTGTACTATTGAGTATACTGCAAAACATTGGCCAGGAACCATAGCTCACATCTGTAATCCCAGCACTCGGGAGGCCAAAGTGGGTGGATCACTTGAGGCCAGGAGTTCGAGACTAGCCTGGCTAACATGATGGAACACCATCTCTACTTTAAAGAAAAAAAAAAAGGCCAGGTGTGGTGGCATGTGCCTGTAATTCCAGCTACTGAGGAGGCTGAGGTGGGAGGCTCGATTCAGCCCAGTTCAAGGCTGCAGTGAGCCATGATTGCACCAGTGCATTCCAGCCTGGGTGCCAGAGCGAGACCCTGTCTCAACAACAGCAACAACAATGACAACAAGAACGACAAAATTCATGAAGTGGAAACTAAAAAGAATGATGTAAGGAGTACATATAAATAGAGGTCCTGTTGTTCTCTTCTTCACCCTAGTAGATCATCTTGTGTACTTGCTGGGATGTAGTCACACTACTACTGTCTACAGATCATTCACTGGGCAAGTCAATTACTTGGAACCTCAGTTGTTTCACCAAGAAACAACTAAGGGAGTAGAGACCTTATTTAAGGATGGCATGCAAATTTTTGAAGTATTCCGTGTTTTTTAGCCAGACTACTTATGTAACACGCTGTAGATAGATTCTATACCCTCCTCCCACCATGCCCATTAAAAAAGAACATTTCAGCCTACTGGAATTCTCTTCCTGCTCTGCCTGCCGAAATCCTAAGATGCAGCTCGCCTCCCTGTGCTCTGATTCAGGCTTCCCTAATCACCTCATCTTCATCTTCATCTTCTCTGAAACTTTGTTGCATTTTAATCACTCTTTTATGGAATTTCATTTAGCATGTCTTTTTCTGTGCTATTGCTATTTGTGTTTGTGTTCTAATAGGTATCTGAAGAGGATCGAAATGCTACCCCAATATGCCTTTATTTTCTCCTTTTAAGACAGTCTCACTCTTGTCACCCAGGGTGGAGTGCAGTGGCGTGATCTTGACTCACTGCAACCTCTGCCTCCACGGTTCAAGCAATTCTCCTGCCTCAGCTGCCTGAGTAGCTGGGATTACAGGCACCCACCAACCATGCTCAGTTTTTTTTTGTATTTTTAGTAGAGATGGGTTTTCACCAGGCTGGTCACGAACTCCTGACTTCAAGTGATCCACCTACCTTGGCCTTCCAAAGTGCTGGGATTATAGGCATGAGCCACCATGCCTGGCCCAAATATTCCATTTTGGCATAAAAGTTATTTTGAGCTGAAGGCATTTGAATTCCTCAAATCCTTTATTTGCCTAAAATCAGAGCTCCCAATGAACCCAATGGTCCCAATGGTCATAAATCCCCTCCCCAGGAGCAACTCTAATTTTTTCTTCTCAGGGAAGACAGAAGTCATCATCACACCCCAATAGACATCCTCACAAGGTTATCATGTCTCCAATCTATTCCTCTGTGAATCTATTGATTTTTTAAAAAAGTCCTCTGTGTTTCCCTAAGGGCCTTTTCTCTCCATCTTCTAAGAAGTAAGTTGTTTTCCCAGAAGTGCCTCACTGCTCACCCACATTCCCCCATTCAGTTGACATATAAGCCCCCAATTCTTGTTCCTTCAGTCACATTTTTCTGTGAACTCCCAAGTATGTATGTATGTATGTATGTGAATAAAAATTTGTCTTTTCTTTTGTTGATCTGTCTTTTGTCAGGTTATTTGCAGGCCCCTAGGTACTGAACCTAAGAGAGTGGGGAAAAAATGTTTTCTCCTTGACATAATTTTACTGTTGGGGAAAGAGGAGGTAATACATCTATTATGTATATTTGGACAGACAGACAGACCTGAATGTTTTAAAATTCCTGCATTGCCTGTCTCTACCAAAAAAAAAAGAAA